CTAAGTACTGACAGATTTTGGGCTTTGGACCTTAGCCACAAATCCAGGACAAGAGGGAAAAAATCCCACTAGACATTCTGTTACATTTTACATAGATAATCCATTATAATCCTCATAAGAATAATCCTCACTAAAACCATATTAATTATAATCCTCACTACAAAAGACAAAGAAACAAAAGAAGAAAAACCCTAAAAGTTTCAGGTGCAGGAAATAGAGAGGAGTCCTAAGGTTAGAGAAATGAGCTGGAGCTTGGCAGGAGAGCTCATGAAGGGCGGGTGAAGAAGTCCTGCTATGACCCTATCAAGACAGCAGCTGGCCTGTCCCTAGGTTCTTCAGAACCTTTTTTTTTTTTTTTTTTTTTAACGTTGGGGCAGGACAGGAGTAAAGACACAGACGTAGAGAATGGACTTGAGGGCACGGGGAGGGGGAAGGGCAAGCTGGGACGAAGTGAGAGAGTGGCATGGACTTATATATACTACCAAATGTAAAACAGATAGCTAGTGGGAAGCAGCCGCATAGCACAGGGAGATCAGCTAGGTGCTTTGTGCCCACCTAGAGGGGTGGGATAGGAAGGGTGGGAGGGAGACACAAGAGGGAGGGGATTGAATTGTGTCCCCTATACATATATGTATAGCTGATTCACTTTGTTATAAAGCAGAAACTAACACACCATTGTAAAGCAGTTATACTCAAAAAAAGATGTTAAAAAAAAAAAAAAGCAGCTGGGACGGAGCCGTTTATAAGTCCTAGAGTATTTCTTCACACAAAACACAAGCTTTAGAAATAACTCTCTATATTGTCCCAGGTAAGCATCACAGAGGTCTTCCCTGAGAGAAACAGAAACCCAAGCCTTGCAACTGAGATCTGAACTCTTTCTTTCCTATCTTTATGGTACAGGGACAGGATGGTGATAGTGGGAGGGACAGAAAGTACTTGGGGAGGATAAAAAAGAGGCTTGAATTGTATCTATAATATTTCATTTCCAAATAAATAAATGAGTATTAATAAGATTCAAATATTGCAACATATTAAAATGTTGTATCCAGTATTTGTTATATGATTTTATGTGCTATCATTTTACTAATTAAAAAAAATAAACAGGTTAAAAAATGTTAATTAACTTGCCCAGATCACAGTCCATGAGAGGAGAAACTATGGAAATATAGACTTCTAATACCAAACTCTGTTAAACTGACTTGGCTTATTCATTTTTGCATTAACAAGGAAGGGCCTAACATGTGGCCAAGGTGTTCAGAATGATAGACAACAGCTGGGATTATTCCTGGAGGGAGGGGCCCTGCTGACAGAGGTCTGCTATCAAATGCCACCATTCAACAGGGTGGCCCAGGGCTGCATCTGGCACGTGACCTAAGGAAACTTAGAGATCATCTACTTCAACTGGGTCAGTTTACAAATTCAGTAACAGACCCAGAGAGATTAACTGGCTGGCTTAGTGAGTGGATAATTCAAAATTTAATGCTATGTCAATTATACCAGGTGCTCTAAACTGTAGTCAATAAGTAGCAGAACAGTCTTAGGAATGGGGATGATGATGATGATAAATAAAAATAAACATGATGGTGGTGGTGATGATAGCAGCTAACGTTTTTGAGCACTAATCTAAATTCTAGGTACTCACCTGAATGCTTTGTAAGTATCCCCTCGATTATTCCTCACAACAGCCCAAAAAATTAGGTACAATCATCATCTCCATTCAGATCAAAGGAGAGCCTCTCAGGGGATCATCATCTGTAAATTACGGAGTAGATCCCAACCTAGGCAGTCTGACTTCTGTGCTGGAACTCTTAACCATATGCTGTGCTAAAGACTCAAACATTAGGGGAAGGGGGAGGGAGCAAGTGGGAGCTCAATCCCATCTCTCTCAGGTTCAACTTGGGCTTATATATTTCCCATTACTACAGAGGCGAGGTGTGTATTTGGCTTAGAATTTGACATTATCTGATGCCAATATGAATTCTACATGGTGTCAAGTCAGGTAGAGCTCTTGAAGAAATGGTATGTTAGAGTGTAGATGGATTGACTCATGAATTATTGGATTAAACCTGAAGTAAATTCCCTAAACACAACTTTAGTTTTCCTGTATATAAAGGAGTACTTCTGAAAAGAGTAAAACATTTTGCCCTCTCTCTGGTGTGGAAAAACCATTATCACAGCAAAAAAAGAATGCTTAAGCCAACAATACTGAATAATTCGTTTCATGTCAACCAAAAAAAGTGAAAGCAACACCAAATTTTTCTAGTAATGAGATGCTATTGGTTAGTGAATGTTAATAATGTAGATTATAGGATAGTTAGATTTATGACTACCATCTCCTTCCAACAAGGAAATGAATCTTGTCAATTCTAGAGGCAGAACTACATAGTGGAGTTCTGGAGTTTGGTTACTGAGGTCACATTTCAGCTGTCATTCAATTATATACTGTGTGTGTTTAATCAATACTAGTATTACGCATCCTCAAATTTAAAAAGAATGGTCAAGGATTGATTTCAATATTATCAATCTGTCAATATTTTAATGATCTGCTGAACATCCTCAGGAAAATAAAGCAAAAATTCCCAGTACATATAAATTTTATTTGTGAGAAAACAACAATCTGAAATGCCATGTTATGTCCACACAGAGAATGCTGACTATAAAATTTGTCTTCCAAGGATAAAAATCGTAAGGTCCAAGGAAGCATAGCTATTACTCACAAGGATAAACATGGTTGCTCAAAAGACTTTATATCCTAAAGTTACATACATTTTTAAGTTATTTGTAGGGAAACAAGTGAAACAAATCAATCTGATTTGTGAAAAGTCAGAATTTCTTGTGTGAAACATTGAAATTCAAAGAAAAGATCAAAAAAAGAACACAGAGACACACAGTGAAAAACAGGTTAGTGACTAGAACAGCAAAACATTAAAATGTCAAAAAATAATCAAAACAAGCAAATAACAAGGCTAAAACTAACAGGCTTCCTTTGTTGGAATCTAGTTACAGAGTTTTAAAGAGGCACATCTATTGATATAAATCACAAAATGGCAGCTCACAGGTAAAATCGTGTGCAGAAGTGTTTTCTAGCAGAGGTTTTTTTTTTAAATCAAGTTACAAAATTACATATCTTTTTCAGAACCCAGTTTTTTCTGTGTTTCTTAAAAAAAAAAAAACAACAACAACAGCATAGCAATGAGCTGGAGCTCAGTAATTGATGTGCTTAATTGTATAAGTCTTTCTAGTTTGCCACCAGTTTTACTCACCTTATTTTTACTCATTGACATTGGGTTGGCCAAGAAGTTCTTTTGGGTTTTTCTGTAACGTTATGGAAAAACCTGAACATTCTGGCCAACCCAATACATTACCAGCCTGCCCCCTGTAGTCAGGTGAGTTCATAAGCCCTTATGCACCATCAAACTAACTCAAGTCATGAAAGTGATCAATTGCAGAAAGGACTGCAAGATTGGGGATCATCAGGGAGCTTCATTTGTTCACTCACTCATTCGTTCATTCAACAAATACACGTTGATTTCAAAAGTGCCAGATACTGAGCTCAAATCAGCATATAAGTATTTGGGATTTCTTTGCATCAAGATAATAGGCAGTCATAGATCTGGATGTGTACCAAGATGTATGTGATAGAGCTGAGGACAAAACAATGATGAATTTTAGGAAATGAAATAAGAAATTCTAAAAAGTGCTAACAATTCGCTAAGAATTGCAAGGGTCTCAAAGGATGGGGATTCTAAAGAAGGAAGGGGTGGTCAACAGTGTAAAACTATGGCTGAGCAGTGATATTAAATGAAGACAGAAAAGAAAGACAATTCTATGATGTAAGTAGCAAATCCCTGGTGATGTTTAAGAGGGCACACATAGAGTAGGCTGATAAAGCCAGGTTAGGTGGTGAGAAGATAAGCATAGAGGGCATGAGAAAGAGGGATGGAGGGAGGTTGGGGGGTAGGTATGATGGAAAATGGTGAGGGTGGGGTGAAGAGAAGGCCAGTGAAGAGGACTGAATATGTACAAAAGAGAGATTTGGTACCAGACAGTTCACAAGAATAACCATATGCTAGAATGAATTCAATCTAGATGTAATACCATTAACTTAAATTTTGATATCAGAGCAAACTTTAGTAACTTTTCTGTAAACCATATCCCCAAGTTCACTTCCTGGGACACATTCTGGGAAAGTGTTTTCACTCTAAACCTTTCTTTAGTTAGCACCAAAATTCACTGACAATAAGCTACAAAAGAAAATCTGTCAATTCTCAATTATGTTTTATTTTCTGGTGTTCCACTTGTGATCTCAATCAGAAATGACTGAAATGTTTCTGGTTCTTTGGCTCTGCTGGAAATGACATTTTCCACAGAGGCATCTAATCTTGGACCAATGAAATCAGGTGATATTATTCTCCAGAATCCTCTACATATATAATAATCAAGACAGAAAGATTAAAGTACAAATGGTATGTAAAATGCCTTTTGAGCTCACCCACAGCGAAGCTGGATGTGATTTACCTTCACCTGCACCTCATCTTCCACCTCCACTACCGTAGCTAGTGATGAAAACCACCACCCAGAGGTGAATCCCAGAAAGGCTTCATTGCCTTTTGATGTATTGTTTGTACAATCAGGTTTGGAGACGTCAAAATTCTCAGCCAATCATCCTCCTATGATTCCGAGTAAAACTGTCGTACAAAATAAGCTTAGGAGAGACTTCTCCCTCTCTTTTAGAGTCTTTGTAGAGATTATAATTAAGGAGAATTTTTCCTATTGATATAAAATTATATAAAATGATTGATTACAGATGTTAACCGCTCAATTCCATAGCCTACCCAAATAGGTTCTAAGTCCAGCTGGAAATAAATAAAATTGATCGTCAAGGGTCTGTGTCGGACGGTAGAATAAGCACTAAACACCCTATTGTGCTAGAAGCTTAATATGTAAGACAAATTTATGTAGCATTCAACCAAAATCTTTGTAACATGTGATCCACTTACCCCTGCAAGGCTTTCTCTCCAAACCAATCTCCTTTTCCTAAGGTTCTAAGAAAGACTGGGTCTTCACTTGGCGAGTCTTCACGAGTGACATTTACCTAGAAAGAGAAACAATGAAAGCCTGTATCCACGGCATACACACTGGATGATCAAATAAACACTGATTAATGATGTTTGTTCTATTTCTTCTTTCTTTTTTTTTTAAACTTATTTTCATGAAGAGAAAAAGTACATTACCACTAAAGGGGACAAAGAATAATATCGCAACTTCACATGCACCCCAAGAAGTAATCTCCATGTATTTTGTTATGCTTTCAAGTTGTTGTCAAGGAATAATAAATTATTCAGAAATTTGAATTTCACTCAAATCTTCAACTCTATTCCCACTTCCAACTTTCTATGAGGCAATCACTATGATGGATTTAGTAGTGTTCCTCCAGTCTTTTTTTATGTGTTTATATGCATGTGTTTTAAAAATATATGAATAGCATAATACAGTATGAATTATTCTGCGACTTACATTTTTTCTCTTATCATTATTTTATTTATTCCATGCTATTATATATAAATCTAGTTTTCATTTTAATGTTTTAGTGTCTTCTTTCATCCTATATTTATCAATTTCTTTGCAGATGGACGTTTATACTGTCTCCATTTTTTGGCTTCACTTAACATCTTTCTATACACCTCTCTACATGGACATCCCAGTTTCACTAGGACATGCCTATCTCTTTGCCAAGAAGAAGCCAACCTTCATTCAAAGGCCAGTCACATTTCCATGAAGACTTCCTGCAGGTCTCTACCTGACTACTGTCCTCATGATCCATATGTTTCATTCAGCAGGAGTTCTTTTTTTGAAGATATATAAATTACATATGTGTCTTTATTTTACCATAATGAATAGTATGCTCTTCAAAGAAATGGGCATTTCTTTGATATTCTCTGTAATTTATAGTAAGTACTCAATAAAGAGTAGTAAACTGCACGAACAGAAGAGCTTCATTACTAACAAGATATCTCCGCCCATACAGGACTTGGGAGTTGGGTGATAGTCCATTGAAAGCAAGTAATAATGTATTTGTTGAATGAAGACATAAATGTAGTAAATTGTACCTTTGTGTTAATTCACTTCCCCCTAAAGTTCTACAAATATAATACTGGCTACGTGTCATTTAAAAAGTTTAAATAGTTAAAATTCACCTACCTGGAAAATGTAATGAAATAGAAAAACTAATTTCTTGAGACAATGCCAGACACTTAAACACATTTTAAAATACTATGCTTCAGGTTTCTGAATTTAGAGACTGGATGTCAAAGACCAGAATTTTTATAAGTATTAAAAAGGTCTATGCAAGGTGGAGGGAATTCAATTATTACTCTCCACTGACCCATTTGATTACTCCTCCACATGGTGTTTCAAAAGCATGGAAATGCAGTTTTTAACACTTAACCACTGAGCTATATAAGAGAGGTACTCATATGCATACTGATGAGGCTTTCACAGATGTGAATGGAAATATACTAGCCCAGTGGTTCTCAAACTGTGTGTGTGTGTGTGAGTGTGTGTGTGTGTGTGTGTGTGTGTGTGTGTGTGTGTGTGTGTGTGTGTGGTGGGGAGAGGGGGAGTGCAGTCTTGTTTAAAATAAAGGTTACTTAACTCTTATTCCTGAGGTTTTGATTGAATGGGTTTTGGAAACCTGCATTTCAAAAGATTAATGTGGGTGATTTAGATGCAAATGTTCTACAGACCAACCTTTGACAAACACTGATACACTGTTTCATTTCTGAACCTCAGTTTTCTTATCTGCACAATGAGACAACTCAACAAAATTACTTCTGTCAGTCCCCCTGGCTGATGAAAAAAAGTCAATGATTAACTTAACTATAAGTTAAGCTCATTAATTCAAATTAGATATAGGGATACAAATAACTGTACATTTGCCATTTGGGTAACAAAAAAGATTATAAACTCAAAATGGCAGATTTACGTGAGCCATGGAGAAATGTGGGTGGGTTTTGAAATGTTCTTAAAAAATATGTTACTGAAATGCAGTAAGAGACAGAAAAAACGGGTCACCTATGGAATAAATCACATTCTGCTTATATGATAAATATGAGGAAAAATCTATCTCCTATAGTTCACATATGTGAAAAAACAAGCAGCTCAAAGAGCAAGAATAAAAGTTCTCCTTTAAAGTTGTAGTTTCCACAGTTTTTCTTTATATATATAATGAATCATTCTAAATATGCACAGACACCAGTCATGGACATTTGCATCTTTAATTCTAAAAAAGAAAATTCAAGGTAGAAAAAGTTATATATACAGATATAGCTTCTCTAACCTTGACCTGTATACATAGTCTTTTCACCTACACCATAAAGTACTTTATGATCCACAATGCTGTGGAAGGGAACTAGCTATGGAGTCTTAAAGGTAATATTTAGTCTATTTGAACCCATTACCCCACCACCTTGCCTGAAAAATGGGCGGGCTATCTCATATGGATGTACTTGTGCTCTATGTGTGAATTAAATGAGAACGTCAATGAAAAGCATCCTCTTAATTCTGAGTGCCCCCCAAAGTTGGTTCTTTTTTCCTTATTTTCCCCTTTGTTCCATTTCTCTCACTTCCTACTTCAGAAATTCCATGCATTTGATTGCAGTTATCCCAAATCACTACCATTGCTCTTGTTGACATAAAATGCTATTTAGAACTTTAACTACTTTTAGTTCCAGGTAAATAAAAGAGAAGGTGTTTATTTTTATAATCCTTTTACTTGTCTATATATTAATTTTTCTATAAAATATATGCATGGTATTGTAATTTCAAGATTTGGAACTATTTTTAAAATTATATATATACACATAATTTTTTAAATTAAGAATCAAAATAGAAATTAGGTATTTTAAATGGGACACATAAAATTAATCTTTAAAACCAAAATCTTCAATAAACAATATCAATGTGCTCAACCAACATGTTTAACCAAAAATAATTCAAAAACAAATAAAATGTTTTAGTACAGATTCAACAGGTTTTATAAACAAAGCGATGTTTGTTGTAAAGAAACATGGAAATCAGAGATTTGTGGGGCAGACCCAGCTGGAGAATAGGGTTGTCAGGTGAGCATTTTCCTACCTGTGTAATAGATTATAAAAATGAGGAGTTTCCAAATCAAAGCATCTCCCTTTTCAAACAATGTTCTACACACATTGCTCAAAAATTGCCCTGTTATTCCAAAAAAAAAAAAAAAAACACAAATGTTCCCTAATGTAGAAAAACACTTTTAGGAGCTGTATCTGATAGTTTGGGGCATGTACAGGGAAAGAATATTTTTCTGAGCTTGACGTTTGCCTGCATTCCTTTAGTCATTACTTAAATTCAGGGTGGCTCAGACCTATGACTCCCCTGAGTCTGGTTTGACAACTGAACCTTTTGTGCAACACAGGAATGAATTAGAATCTCTCTCACCATGTGTCCACTTCTGTCCCCCCAAACATCTCTGGTGAATCTTATGTTCGTGCTTCTCTTTCTGGTACTTCTACTTTAATGAGTGTGTGTACATGCACTCACATGCACCTCATTCCATGCATAAATACCATATATTTTCCTGGTTTTAAACTTTATATAAATAATATCATACCACACATATCCTTCAACTTGTTTCTTTTGATTAGCATTGTATTTGAGATTTATCCAATTCATCCATGTTAATATATGTAGCTGTAGTTCATTTCCTGTTTGTATAATATGCCATTATATGAATATTATATAGTTCATTGATTCTTCTCTATATGTAAATGTGGGCTTCCTCCAGGTTTATTGTTGTTATATACTAGTCTGTTGTGCTATTAACATTACTTATGAACATTTTTGCATGTTTTGTGGTGTCCATGGGTGTTTCACTAGGATCAAAACTTACAAATAAAAACCAAGGTTATAAAGTATACGCATCTTCAATTTTACTAGGTATTGACTCAGTCTTGGTACAAAGATGTCACACCAAGTTATATTTCTACCATCGGTGGATGAAAGTTCATATTATACTATATTGTCATCAACACTTGATATTGTCAGACTTTGATTTTTTGCCAAAAAGGTCAATATCATATGGCATTTCTCTGATTATTAATAAAAGTAGGGTATTTTTCATATTATTTTATGGGTCAGTTGTATTTCTTTTTTGTGACTTTTTTGCCTATTTTTCTATTGAATTAATTGTCATTTTTTTATTGATTCATAAGACGGTAGTTTAGCTTTTCACTGTATTTATGATGTCTTGCCAAAGCTATTAATTTCAATGTAATCATATGTAACCACATTATCGCTTATTGTTTGTACTTTAAAATTCTCATTTAATAAAATTTTTCGTATCCCAACATGACAGAAGTATTCTCCTAATTGTCTTTTGATTTTTTTTCTAATTTTTTCTTTTGCATTTAGGTCTGGAATTGACCTTATTTGTACAGTGTGAGGTCAGGATCCAAGTTCATATATCTCCCTATGGATAACTAATTGTTTTGGAATATGTATTGCCCATGCTCTCCTAACTCAAGTTCCCATAGATCTTGGACCTTTATTTGAGCTCACTATTCTCTTATTCTGATATATTTATCTAGTTCTTAGTAGAATTAAGACATTTTCTTCTTTACCTTATAATAAATCTTTATATCTACTGAAGTAATTCTCACCAATATATTCTTCTTCCTTTCAAATGTTTTAGCCATTTTTGTCTTTGCTCTTCATTCTAGTGTCCTTTTTTCTTTATCATTTAAAAATTTCTTATACAATTTTTAAAGGTTACTTTCCATTTACAGTTATTACAAAATACTGGCTATATTCCCTGTGTTGTACAATACATCCTTCAGCCTATCTTACACCCAATGGTTTGTACCTCCTACTCCCCCTCCCCTACATTGCCCACCTCTGACTTGTAACTACTAGCTTGTTCTCTATATCTGTGAGTCTGCTTCTTTTTTGTTACATTCACTAGCTTGTTGCATTTTTTAGATTCCACATATGATATCATACAGTATTTATCTTTCTCTGCCTGACTTATGGCAAAATTTCATTCTTTTTATGGCTGAGTAGTATTCCATTGTGTGTGTGTGTGTGTGTGTGTGTGTGTGTGTACATAAATATATATATACACACACAATACATCTTCTTTATCCATTCATCTGTTGATGAACACTTAGGTTGTTTACATGTCTCGGCAATTATAAGTAATTCTGCTATGAACATTGGGGTGCATATATCTTTGTGAATTAATGTTTTGGTTTTTTTCGGATATATACCCAGGAGTAGAACTGCTTTCATACGGTAGTTCTATTTTTAGTTTTTTGAACCTCCATACTGTTTTCCACAGTGGTTGCACCAATTTATACTCCAATCAACAGTGTACAAGGGTTCCCTTGTCTCCTTGTGAGCATTTGTTATTTGTAGACATTTTGATAATAGCCATTCTGACAGGATGTGGCTACTAAGAAGCTGAATATTTTGTTTAATTTAATTTAGTTAATTTTAATTTAGTGACTTGAGACTAATGGCTACCATGTTAGGTTGTGAAGATATAGAATAGTTCCATCAACAGAGGAAAAAGTACTGAACAATGCTGATCCAGCTAAACTTATATTAATTTTAATAATTTATCTGTCTACATAAAAAACTCAAACTAAAATCACACTACCTGTAAATAATTACTGTTTATTTCTTCATTTCCAAACATCTTTTTCTTGACTTACTGCAATGGTTGGGGCGTTTAGTTACACAGTGAACAGAAGTGGGGATAATGTGCATGTTCGTTCTTGAAATGAAATGATTCATGTTTCACTCTGATATTATATATATATATATATATATATATATATAATGTCACACACAAACACAATTTCCATAAGAGCATACTTCCCATATTCAGCAACACTGAATATTGTGTTAAGCCCATTTGTTTAACCAACATGCTTAAGCCCTTGTGAATTCTAAGCAAAGCCATGTGGTTTTAAGTGGCATTTAATGAACAAGAATTTTTGAAATATTTTTTTCTAATGGTAGCATACAAGATAAGTTAAATAGAATCAGAAAATCAAAATGTAGCATACAAGATAAGTTAAATAGAATCAGAAAATCAAAATGCTTTTGAATTATTACTGAAACTCTGAAATTTTGTCGACCAATCCTGTTCAATTTTGGTTCCACTTATTTATGGAGACATTTTTTTTTTGATGCAACACAACTAGAGGGACATAGGCATCAAGTTTTATCAGAGATCTTTTTCATGCTTAATTATGAATCCTTGAGTGCTTTATGGTTCACTATTGGGGGGAACAAGTCAGGCTTCCAGGCAATTGGAATGGACTGATTAAAGTATAAAGAACTAACTCAGCTTCTACCTGAGGCAGAACTAGGTACTCTAGACATCACTGAAGCATTCTGTCCAAGTTTTAGAAAAATCAGTTTGTATAGGTTTAATGGGGAAAAAACAAATATTTCCAAGTTTATTTTATAATGCTTTTCTCTTTGTGTGAATGTGCTTTATAGAAAAATAAAAACTGTTTTACTCTTAAATAAATGAACTTGAACAAGGGGAAATCCATCTGTAGTTGTACAGCCCCTGTTGTGTGTCTGTGTCTCACATTTTCTAAGGAAAAGCCAGGTTGGTGGTAACAAAGAAAATATCTTTGTCAGAGTATCCTTTATAAATTCTTAAATGTACATGAAAACAAGGTGACATCTGTACACCTAAAACAACACACATAATTTTAGAAAATTTCAATTCTACAACTTATTTGCCTGCTCACCTGAACCTACTCTCATTCTCTTATCATTTTCTATTCCTTCCTATTGGGACTTAAGTGTGTTCACCTTCTGCTTCTTAAAACTTATATAGTAACTCCAATACATTAATATTAGAATTCATATAATTAACATACTAAATCAATCATAGATTATTATATAATTAGTATAATTAAGAATCATGGCAGCTAAGTTGTATGACCTGAAAAAGAAGGTTAGGAAAAATCTATGCCTGGTTTAAAAAAAAAATCTTGGATGTGTCAAAAAATTCCAATATATTCTTACTACTTCTCTCCCAGAATTCCTACAGTGGTCTGAAATACTGCCAAGGGAATCAGTTCCTCTGGTGTAATATCCATGCTATTTCTATGTATACATATTACAAAACTCATAAAATAGCACCACTAATGCTCCTGTGTTCAGCTGAAACTGGTTACAAACCACAACTTTTTAGGCAGTGCTGGAATTTTCAGTAGTTTGGTAGCCACAAAAGCCTGTCAGAAATTCATCTTAATCGATAAACATATCATTCCATGACAGCAAAGAATTAGCAATATAATATAAAAAAATAAATCTAGGATTGCCAGGGCAAAAAGCCCCCCTGTGACCAATCAAATAATTTACATCTATTAGAATTTTCAGTTTTCCCTGATTCTTCCATTGATATTAAGAACAAAGCAATAAATGGTAAGCTCTAACAAATTATATATAAACCTCAAAATCTTAACATTTCTTATCCTCTAACATTGGAAAATACAAGGTATAATTTTACCCATAACTGGTCAGATGTCATTTCATGTTGCTTTTTAGGAAGCCAGTCCCTTGACTTCTATTTCTATCCCAGGTTTTCTGATATCAGTCAAAAGAATAGGTATGAAAAAGTATAAATATTATTTTCTTCCCTTTAGTGGGATATGCCACCGGTGTAAACATTGACATATGCACATTTAAAATTCACAATTAGTCCAAAGAGAATTCTCTAAAATGTGACCCAACAAAATCTATAATCTTTCAACATATCCTGTTCACTGTGGCTCTGTTAATCTCTCTTGCCTATTTTACATGAGCCATAAAGTCAGTCATATTTGTTAAATTAGAAGAAATAAATTTACTTATTTTTTTAAAGTGATAATTATAAAAGTGAAAACTGCCATATAAATCCCCTTGTACCTGCATTTCCTTCCCCGTGTTTTACTTTACTTAGTACTTATAACTTCTTTTTAAGGATCACTTACTGTAAAGCAAAATAAGTTCAAATACATTGCACATAGTGAAATGACACTTAAATGCAAAAATGATTAAGACTTTACTGTTGAAAGGAATTTAAGGTATTTTTAGCAATATAATATTAAAGTATTAATCTACATGTCTTCATTTTCCAATTCTCTCAATTTCATATTCGGGTTTTTAAAGTTATTATTTATAATATTAAACTTTTTAAAAATATGTAAGGAATAAATTATGATTTTTTATTTATGTCCCTGTCTACCCTATATTTACCCCTTCCCCTATACTTAACCACTTCTAATAATTTCTTAGTATCCATTAAATATTTATGTATGAAGATACAATGAAACATGAATATATTTACTTCCTGATTGGCCTCAGAGAGTTATATAACTCGCTTAGGGAGTACTAAAACTAGGAAGTTTCATAGCTGGATTCAAACTTGGGCCATCTGATTTGAAAGTCCAGATATTTAATTATTACAATATTACTGCTCCTAATGACTGGATGGATTCTTTTTTCCTGTTAAAGATTTTTTTTAAGCAACCTTAGTCTTCTCTTTTTTAATTATTATGGAAAACTTTCCATTTATGCAGACATACCAGTGGCATCTAGCATCATGATTATTATACTCTAGAACAAAGGCTGTTCGCTGGTCTTCAAAGTTATACTTTTTCTTTCTTTCTCCACATTTTCAGGAGATACATTCTCAAATATTTCTTTATCAGTTTCAGAAAAGAAAGAAACCTCAAACAGCTCAACACCCTGCACACGTGCTCCTCCACAGGTAGCTGATGAACCCCAGGCCCCCCTTGTGCATCTCCTTCTCATGCTACCAGGGCTTACCTTTCCTTTGCTGATGATAAAGAAGGTGTCCCCTCTTGCACCTTGCCTGATGATATATTCCCCGTTTTCATAGTGGGTCTAAAAAACAGAAACAGTAACAGAAAGAAACATTAAGAAAGAAGCAATTTACTAAACAGCTCAACCTCTTCAAATATTAGCTCCTAAGGGATGGAATCACCCTCATGGTGGTATACCCGAGCTTAGAATCCATCATTATTTAAAAATGAATAATAGTCAGTGAACACAATAATTACAAAGAAATCTATCCTCCTCACTTTAAAAACTATTTTGTTAGTGCCGTTTTTCTGGGTGATTATATTCATATCTTTAAATTCATTCATTTTAATAGCTGGATGAAAATATTCTTTTCTCCCATCAACTGAGCATGAAATAAAACAGCAGAACTGATCATTAAATATGTCTTCCTGTATTATCTGTCATTCTCATTCGGTTTTAGTATTCCTGTAGTGACAGAAAAAAAAAAAAGGCTGAGAACGTACTATGGCATGTAGCATTTCTAAAGATCTTCATTTTGAAACCAAGTTGACTTTTGGTGTGGGTTAGATGGCACTAGTTCCTTTTTAAGGCACTGCTTCAGGCTTTAATGTCCTGCTGCAGCAATTTAGGTTTGGCCTTGTCAAACAGAATGTCTTTATTTTATGTACTGAATTCTGGTCCAGCATCTGTGAGCTCATAAACCACCAAACAAGGGGCAAAGTCAGGCAAAGTAAAGCAAGAAGATGATCACAGTCAGTGTGTCAGTATTCTGATTCGGGCACAGTGACTAGGTCAATTCCCAGGGTAAAGACTGCTCCTGCAATGAACAAAAGTAATTTCTATAAGGAGAGGTGGGAGAAAGTATATTGCTGGGTCAGGAGGTATAACAGAAAAATGAGAACTGTGCCATCTGGCCCTATCTTTCTCGGCAGTTTAGCAAGGAAGCCATGTTTTGGGAAAGAAAACATTACTCTGTACACTCCTTAGGAAACAGATTCCATGGTTTTCAAACAATACTCACCAGGCTAATGGCTGTGATTTGTCATTATACCTCAACACTCTTAAAATTACCTTTCATTAATATTTCATATTAAGAATAGCCATGATTTTCTGGGAATGTAAATTGATACAGCCACTATGGAGAACAGTATGGCGGTTCCTTAAAAAACTAAAAATAGAACTCCCATATGACCCAGCAATCCCACTGCTGGGCATATACCCTGAGAAAACCATAATTCAAAAAGAGACATGTACCACAATGTTCATTGCAGCTCTATTTACAATAGCCAGGACATGGAAGCAACCTAAGTGTCCATCCACAGATGAATGGATAAAGATGATGTTGCACATATATACAATGGAATATTACTCGGCCATAAAAAGAAATGAATTGAGTTATTTGTAGTGAGGTGGATGGACCTAGAGTCTGTCATACAGAGTGAAGTTAAGTCAGAAAGAGAAAAACAAATACCATATGCTAACACACATATATGGAACCTAAAAAATAAATGGCTCTGATGAACCTAGGGGCAGGACAGGAATAAAGATACAGACATAGAGAATGGACTTGAGGACACGGGGAGGGGAAGGGTAAGCTGGGATGAAGTGAGACAGTGGCATTGACATATATACACCACCAAATGTAAAATAGGTAGCTAGTGGGAAGCAGCCACATAGCACAGGGAGATCAGCTCGGTGCCTTGTGACCACATAGAGGGGTGGGATAGGGAGGGTGGGAGGGAGGCACAAGAGGGAGGGGATATAGGGATATATGTATATGTATAGCTGATTCACTTTGTTATACAGCAGAAACTAACACAACATTGTAAAGCACTTATACTCCAATAAGGATGTTAAAAAAAAGAATAGCCATGATTTTCTTAATATACCAAGAAAATTAACATACTACCTAATGTTACTTTTTTTTTTACTCTAAAGTAATATATTTTCCTACTAACAAGTTTTTTAAGTAAAAAAGTTCCTCATTTCCCTTTCCCAATCTCAACCATTAGATGGTAAATGCAGTCTGGTGTGTATCTTTCAAGACTTTTTCCTGTGCTTTTAAACATATATATCTATGTGCATACAAACAATTATTTCTAAATAAAAATAAGATCAAATGATGCATATTCTTCAACCGACTTATTTAACAAAATATCTGTGTTCCATTTTCATATCTTGTTGCTTAGAATGCAACAGCGGGAAGCAGGTTTGAAAAACAAAATCACAAGAGTCTATTTTCATATATTCATTCAAGAAACATTTCTAAGTGCCTCTGAGTCAGGCCTGGTTACAGGTGCTGATGATACAAGATGAAAAAGATAAAAATCTCATGTTAGCACTGTCACATAGAGCCTTCTTTGATAGTGTTAATGTAAACCTGCACTGTCCGATACAGGAGCCACTAGCCACATGCGGCTACAGAACAGTTGAAACGTGGCCAGCGTGACTGAGAAACTGAATTTTTAAATGTATTTAATTTAAATTAGTTTAAGTTTTAATACACACGGCTAGTAGCTATTGTATTGGATAGCACAGGTAGTAGATAAAACTGACAAGGGAAGAACTACAATCTATAGCAGTAGGGGAGGGGGAAGGGTGGAGCGTCTTTCCCACTCGTGATGTTTTTTACTTTGTGAATGGAGCTCCATTAGTAAAACTCAGGACCTTTTTCTGCCCTTTTCCTCACTCTGCACCAGAGGAGACAGTGTAATTTATCTGACTGATAAATTTGGAAGTAATCTATATGCTCATCTCAGACGCTCATCACTTCTGGATGGGAGGTAGTTCCCCACAGAGGGCTGGCATTCTCTGCTGCTTGTCTAGGGGAGGAATCTTCTCCCTAGCATAGTGAAGTCCTGCCCCTGTCTGGGCGTCTGTGACAGGACAAGTAAGTCGGCCCAAACAGCACCCAGCTTGGAAGCCTGTTTGTCTTTCACTCCTAAGCTACATTCTCTAGCCTAGAGTTTATTAGTGATAATAGTAATATTTTAGTCCCATTTATTTGCCTCCAGTTGAAAATGAATGCACCAAATCTTTCTTCTTTCTTTCTTTCTTTTTTTTTAGACTTGAAAGAGCAGTTTATTATTTCTCTTGGGACTGTATGCTAACTAGATGATTCTTTGGCTTCCCATGCTGTCGGCTGGGATAACTGCAAGGTGTAATGCCTCACGCTTGTGGGCACTTGATGCTGGTGCTGGCTGGGGGCACAGCTGGGACTGTCCATGTCTGCTTTTCCCCCACGGGAGCCTCTTTATGTGGCTGCCCAGTCTCCTCCATATCATGGTGGTCTGGGAGTGGGCCAACTTCTTACATGGCAGCTGGCTTCCAAGGCTGCAAAAGCAGAAGGTGTCGGGCCTTCCCAAGACCCAGGCCAGGAACAGGCCCCCTATCACTTATGCTGCATTCAGTGGGTTCAAGCAGGTCCCTGGGCCAATCCAGGCACAAGGGGAAGGGACTGCACAAACATGTGAACCCCAGGAGATGTGGTGCATCGAGGACTGCCAAAACAGTCTGGCACACACCTCAAACTTCAAGTGTATAGAACGGAGCTCCTGGCATCCTTTTTCTAGTCCTGTTTCTCTGCCTTCCCAGTATCAGCAACACCAGCTCCATCTTTCCAGGTGCTTGGGCCAAACACCTTGAAGTCGTCTTTAACCCTTCTATCTCACAGTTCTATCCACAACTGCTCTGTTGGCATGCTGGCTGCTCCACATTCAGAGAATGCCCAGAACTCAACCACACCTCACGTCTGCTGCTATGGCCACCATCTTTTCTTGCCCGGTCCAAGCAGTCACCTTCTACCTGGAGTCTCTGCTCCTGCCTGGCCCTTCAGTGCTTTCCCCACATAGCAGCCTGGCAATTCTGTTAACACACAGTCAGTGCCTGTCCCTTCTCTGCTCACACCCCTGCAGGGGCCCCTAATGCACAGGTACAGGGTCCTATAGGGACTTCAGTGCACTAACAGCTTCTGTCCTTTTGCTTCACCAACCTCACCTTCCACCCCTCTTCCTCTCATGTCTGTTCTGTTCACACCACTTCCCTTGATATTCCTTGAACATTCAGGCCCAGGCCCACCTCAGGGCCTTTGCACAGGTTCCTCCCTCTGCCTGCAATGTGCCTACACACCAAATATTTATGACTCCTTCCTACCTTTACTCAAGTGTCACTTTCTCAGAGACCTATCCCAGCCTGCCTTTTCAATCTGTTCTCTCCTCTGTACTTGTGACCCTCCTTGAATTAGTTTTCTATGTAGCACTTACCATCAACATCTGTCGGGCAGAAGAGACTGCACCCTTGGGAGAGGGAGGAGATCAAAGAAGGACGAATGATGGGAGTGTGGGCAGGATTAGGGGATCAAGCAGTGTTGGAGGTAAAGTGTCAGGGAGCAGGATTGCTGGACCCTGTTCAGAGGTGGAGCCATGTGACATATAAGCTCAACAGGAGCTGGAACTGTGGCTTCTGATAAGGAACATCCACTGCCAAACCCCTTGCCTGGTCTGGAGGGAGCAGAGGAAGAAATACTCTGACTTCTCTCTTCTCCACCCTCTGGTCTCCTGCTGGGGCACCCCTTGGCCGAACTCAGCTGGAAGTCATGAGACAAGGGAGCCTTCCCATTCAGGTCAGCTTCTGGGCAGACAGAAGTGCCAGGAAGAGTGAAGTGTTTCAGCCCCACGTTTAACATATCATTCATTTAATCACCTGTCAGCTGTCTCCGCCACGAATGTCAGCCTATGGGGGATTTTTATGTTGTTCCCCGCTGTGCCCCTTGCAGCTATAAGAATGCCTATCTGTGAACTAAATACTTATTGAAAAAATGGTTTAAATTATAAGGATATTTAGTCTCTCATGTAAAAAAAAAAGTCCGGAAATTAAGCAATTTCAGGGCTGATCAATTTGTTGGTACAACAAATCCTCCAAACACTCAACTTCTTTCTCTCTTTCATTTATCCTCACTGGATGGGTCGTTATGGTTCCCAAGATGACTGCCACTGCTCCAGTCATCACAGCTGGGTCAGAAGCAAAAAAGGCAAATTTCTCATCTTACCATTCCTTCTAGGGAAAAGAAATCCCAGAAATCC